GCTCATAACCTGTCAGCGATATTTCGCTGTGCACTAGCAGCAGTACGATGCTGCAGATGCCAGGAGGCTGTGTAGCCTACCTCAGAGGTTCACACTCTGTGCTTCTCCAACCGCGAGAGACTTGGCGTGGAAATATGAAGATGCTTTTATTAGTTGCTGACTCCCGAGTCAGATGTTGCTGGTACTGAAGAGGAGTGAGAGGAGTGGGCGAGCTCAGGGCTGCACCACTCTTCTCGAATACCGGACAAATAAGCCAATCACACGAAAGATAGATCCAGAATGCTTCCAGAATGATTTCTGGAAGCCCTCCTACGTTCTAGAAGAGTATCAACTACAACCTAGATCTAGAACGCTTCCAGAAGCTTACAGAAGGAACCAGAAGTTTCCAGAAAGGCTTTCAGAAGCTACAGAAGGAACCAGAAGTTTCCAGAAGGCTTCCAGAAGCTACACACGTTCTACGTAGATGTCCCGGTCAACCTTGACCTTGCATGCTTCCGGAATATTTCTAGAACAAGAGAATACATGCCAAGGAGAGATGGATTCTTTTCTACTGCTACGCAGACTAGTTGCTGCAATCGTATTCAAAGGTCAAACCGTGTCCGACTACTGGTGGTCTCGATGCACGATTTTCCTGACAACGGGGTCCCAGCTAAATAAAGGCATTTCGAGGTGTTCTGTGTTTTCAACAGCACTAAGACTGACGCCAATTCATTGGTCAGCCGGTTAGCGCGGTCGATGCTAATAATGAAAACACACACACAAACACACATACACCTGGGGATCGAATCGTCGCCCCTCTCTCTTGCCCATGAAGCCGCAGATGGTGCCGAACTGGTGGCTAATCGTGCTGTCTCCGATCATGAGGACGCGGAAGGGCTCCGTCTCTGTGTCCTCCCTTTCCTCCGCGATGGAAGCCAGCAGGTCTAGCTTGGCCTGCATGAACTCGTTCCTGCCGATGATGCCCGCGATTTCACAGACATGTACAGCGCCCGCACATAAAAATGAAGAGGAGTGGCCAAAATCGGGTACACCCGCCCCAATCCGGCCATTATCGGGTACACTTGTTTCTCACAGTCGGCAGCGCCCTCCTGGCGCCATCTGATTGGCCGACGCCCGCCCCTACCCGGCCCTGACCCTATTCCCACCGGGTGCACCCGATCTTGGCTACTCACCCCCCGGAGGGGTACCCGATCTTACTCTCGCCTACCCGAAAATGGCTGGGCTGTTCGACCAACAGACCACCAGCAGACCACTCTCACGAACACCAGTCACCAACACCCCGCACTCGAGTTCCGACGCTTCCGACGGCGGGCGGAGGCGGACCTAACGCGGCTAACGCGGCGGAACTCTCGTTTGAAGTGGATCAGTGGATCTCTCTCCTGCAACGCGGCGGAATTCTCGTTTGAAGTAGATCTCGCTTCTGCAAGTAGATCTCGCTTCTGCATGTAGACCTCGCTCCTCAACCCAAGTCTCTCGTGGTTGATCTCGGCACTCGTACCTGAACGGTCTACTGGCATCGGCAGAATATGAGCGATGAAGTAGAGAACACCGCGGTCCTCGCGCAAGGCGCGTGCTACTTCACCACCAGCCATCTTAGGACAGCGTTCATTCAGCGTGTACCACCACTCTCCCTATCTTTCCCCATCTATCTCCTGTGGCAAGCCCGCAGTTCCTTGTCTCTCCCACGTACTCACGAGAGGTCGAAGTCAAGGAAGTATTATCGCTGTTTAATCTGAGGTCCCACGGCATCCACTGCTTGCTGCTGCTGCATT